CTAGTCGATCGGGGAGGTTCTTCTCTCCATTTACTCTCGATTACGGAACATCCTCAAATATGGTTTCAGTTCAAAGCCGCAGCAGCTCCAATTTACGAATAATATAATGGTACAATATTTACGATAAATATTGACTACGTGCTGCATCTGCAAACACAACGAATGGTGTCTAATTATACAGCAAAGATATATATTAGTGAGTGCGTAGTAATTTTATGATATTTACTCAATTCAATAAACAGAATAAGCCAGATTAAAATGGTCAACGCAGTATCACCGGGGCGACCAGCAGCGCGACTTCATCCCGATTCGAGAAGATAAACAACGTATATAAAAAGGAAAAAAAAATCCATCTATATATCATCATAGAAACGCGAGTGTTTGCGTGCTTTTTGCTACTATTTTTATATAAATATATTTTGATCTCAAGACTCTGCCTCTCTTGTTTGTAATTTTTTCAAATTGATGGTGGAGCTGTAATTTCGTGCCTGAAATAAGTTCAAACAGGATTGGAACAATATTATTGGCTTTCGTGTTTGCCTCGTGAAATATTTGGTTTGTTAATGGCTGCTGCCAGGATACATTTGTTTATGGAATCATCTCATACTGACATGAAATATTGAGCAATCTGCGTGAAATTTCATACTGTAAGGTACGTGGAGCCTTCTTCATTACCGAAATCTAGATTCGATTTTATGCTTGACTTTGACTTCCTGTTTTTCGTTCGTAATTTATAACAAATCGATACTCTCCCTTAAAACGCGTATGCGGTTGACAAACCTTTTGTTGGAGCGTGTGTGCTTTGTACTTAGGCTTAAGTCGTTCGTAATTGCATTTGGTGTAAGGGCGTAGACCATCATATCATGTGCGACACGAGTTCCCTTCATAATCAATGCGTCGTCTTCAATTAAGTTATCATAATAATTGCGCTTGTATGCAAAGTGGATGTAACTCCATTTCAGCTGCTCTCCGCGATTCCCTTTTCCTTAACGAGCATTATCATCACTTAGGTCCTTGTACCTTGACGAAAGCGTTTCCACATCCGATCAGAACATTGATGTGCGCGGATAGTTTATCAAATGGACCGCGAAGGATAAGGAAAACTGCTACCGCCTCCGCGAATTACATAATTCGATCACTCACGCGTTTGTCACTCCGATGTTTGATGATACGTTTAGCAGGGGATCAACTTGTTGTTAAAATAAGTCAATGACTCTGGGCGACCTTCGATCGGACAACAACAAAATATGTTTCCACACTTTTCCCTGTTAACCGTCGGTTAATGTAATCGCTGCTCAAATCCCAAATACGTGAAGGGTTTTAGGGCTTCAATTTCGAAGCTCACACAGTTAATAGTAATAGTGCAAACCAAACATTTCTCTCTCTCTCATATATATATATATATATATAATATATAATAAATTTGTAGTTAAAGTTATAAATGCGGCACAAACATTTGCATATTTAATATTTGATAAATCCATTTGATGTCTCCCTATTATTTGCACAAAACCGCAAACAAACACGAACTCGAAATGCAAACACGCCGATTGTACTTAAATAATTATCATTAATAGAACGCAGCACGGCGCGTCTGTGAGGTGTCGCGATTACGTAACGTTAGAGAAGAGAAGAAAAAAAAAGGAATAGATAGATAAATAAATAAATAGATGTAACTGATTGCGCCCTTCATAAACAATGCATTAATTACGGGCGTGTGCCTCTGAAACAAACCATGCATATGACGCGGAGAGCCCTTGCACAACATTTGCAGGCATTCCTCTCGCATTCCAAATCACCTGCAAATTTATAGCCGTTCCTCTCGTCTCGCCATCCAACGCAATCTCCATCATCCAACTCTCTCCTCCACCTCGGTCCTATTTCTCTTTCTCTTTCACTCTTTTCTCTTCGCAAACATAATTACAGAAACGGCGGCAAGGACGACACAAATATTCCCCCCAAGATATATTTAGCCTGATCGATCCTGAATTGCAAGATTCATCGGTAAAAACCTACATTCCAGTCTCGCAATTTACGAATTCTGGTATTACTAAAAAAAATGTATTTTATATAATTATTTGATACAATAAAATGAATAATTCATAAACTAATAAATGCATCAAAATTAAAAAAAATATATTTATATATATATGAATAATTTACTTTTTGTTTTATTTAAAAACTATTGAAGATGATGAATAAGTTATAAATTTATCATTTACAATTAGTTCACTTGAAAGATGTTTCCTGGAAACTACTAGAAACTTTACAGATAGCAAATGAAGGTACGTAAAGCAATCAAGTGAAGTTATGCATTTCCGCACGGTGTCTTAATGAAAGATACTGAAATGCATTAAGGATCATATTCATGCAATTGCAAATTTGGATACGGAACTTCAGTCGTTCGCATAATCCGCAGCCCCGATGGCTCAACAAAGTGATATTTATGTTGAAGCCTACGTGGTTCTCTCTCTACCAAAGGCACGGAAATGGTGGTAATTTATTTCAATCTAAAATTAACTCGGCCAGTTTATGTAATGCAGCGAATTCGAAACAACTTTTGTCGAGTTCTCAGCTCTGTTTTAAAGTGATCCCAACCAACCCTTCCTGCTTTTACTACAAATAACCGCAACTTGTACAACCAAGTACATATACATGTACGCGTTGCATTTATTTAATGGCCGCATTCATCATTCCACCCACAATACGTTTTCTAGTTAGATATTCGAAACTTCGCTAACAAAATTATACTTTTTGATAAAAATTATTTTCCCATTTAATTATATCATATTTTAAAATTATTATTTTTTTAAAAAGTTTCCACTTATATTTACAACTGTCTCTGCAATACAATTCCAGTCATTTTAAGTTCTTGTCGTATTTCTTTAGGTGAGTGATGCGAATGTACTCTCATATAGGTCAACAAGATTTATTTCCAAGTTCTTTTAGAAATATTCTTCGCTGACATTTCGTTGTCACTAACTTCCTCAAATTGTGGCTCGGTCATGGAATCAACTCATCATTCTTCATATAATCTCAACCTTTTAACTTCTACATCAGAACAATATATAGTTGTATTGGATAAAAGGACAATATATAGATCTTTTATCCCGAACAGATTGGGACAAATTCTAAGCTTCTTTGATGGCACATGTAATGAAATGAGTAAAAATATATATTGTATATAATTTGTTATTTACTTATACTTTATTATTGTAAGGATCAATAGCCTTGGCATTGATGGATAGTTAAGTAGAAAAAATAAATAAAAATTTTAAATTAGTAAAAATCAAGTATGTTTGTAATGATTACAAAAATCAAAATACAATGCTTAGCTTGAGAGCTGCAATTAGTAGACAATACGGTGTTTTCCTTTGATTCTAGACGCTTTTGTTAACGAAACGGAAGATGGATCCGCCGGTTAGGAATCGGTAGAAAGCGGGAATAAAATAACTAAGGACTTGCTAGTGCTGGAGAGAGAGAGAAAGAAAAAAGGGAGAAACGCTAAGTGGATTTAATAAAGTGCGATGGAATCGTGCTAAAAATTGGATCTCATTGTGTGAGAAGGATTTGCTGGAAGTCCTGCCATTCCCGATTTTGATCGAATGCCCGGTCAAGATCATCCGATAAAACCGTCAATTTAAATCATCGAATTGATGTACCTCCCTAGCTGAACACAGAAAACAGGACGAACATCGCTCGTTCAAGGACTGTAATAATCAAACCGTTCTACGCTCGATGCAAATTTTCAGCCAACCCTTATTTACCAAAAGAAAACACGGCGTTTCCTTAAAGACGAACGAAATAAAAAAAAAAGCGATAATTTTTGTTGTTCGGAATAATTCCATTCCAAATGTATGCGAATCGATGGGGGTGGTTTGCTTGCTGCTAATATTTACGACTTTGCTGAACCAGCAAAGAGAGGAATTAAAACAATAAGCGTTGATACTTTCAATTCGACTAAGCACGCGCTTCATTCATTACGCCCCATTAATAATGGACGAGTCAATTTGTTTATTAGAATTTCTATGAAATGGTTATGGGATCGATATGCATTGTCGCAAGGACTATTAAATCAAAAATATTTTACACCCATTATCATCCTTCCTTAAAGCTTATCCTTGACTGATTATTTGCACCATTAAATATCTATGAAATACAACAATTACTTGATAATTGAAATTCAATTAAATTTGTAGAGTAATATTTACAATATTCAAATTAACACTAATAATTGAAATACAAAAATGCACATAATACAAGTTTTAAAAATGATGTAGCAGGTGAGCAATCCGGGATTTCTCTTCTCATCGTCACTCGTTATGCGAAACGTCGCTCGTTAAGCGATTCATTTTTCTCGTTATGCGAGGTTCCACTGTATATTAATGTATATTGATTTGATGAAAGAAGGTGTATGGATTTCGTAAAGTCTATTTCTCCTTAAGCTCAAAAGCGTATATAAAGACATAAGCAATAAGCAAAAGGAAATCGAATGCGATTTCGAAGTTGGTAGGGGAGAAGCGAGAAGAAAAGCATTTATCCTGACATATCTTCAGCACGTAAAGAAAAATTGTGGAAAGCCGTAGGAATACAAAAATTCGCTTACATATTTTTTCGTTTACATCCACCTCGCAACATCCAAACTACATTGAAGTAACGCGTGTTATGTAATTCCATAAGTCAGAATTATATAGATTGGTTTTCACTGAAGAAAGAGATTTTTGAGTTTTCCTCGTATATTTCCGGACGAACTCGATGTCGGTTTGATAGTAAATAGTCTCATAATGTTGAAGGTCTGGAGATCCTTTGACGGTCCAATATAAATAAATCGGAACGTAAAATGTGAGAGGCTCGATGATGTACAGAAGCAGGTGGGAGAGAGGGGATCAGGGATCAGAGTAAATGGCCTTATCGGAAGTTTTGTTTTTATTATCCTACCTGGACTCGGTGTAAACAAAAATGTTACTGATGTACGCTTATTTTTTACTTATTTTTTTCAGGTTTACTATACAAATTTAGTTGAGGAGCGAAGGCCGACCGCAATGGTTAGCTCCGATCTCATGAAATAGTGGTCCTGGTCAAGCGAAAACATGAATACCACCGAAGAGTACGACAACTGCAGCAATATCTCCGAGCCATATACGCCCACTGAACAAAGGATCGATTCATACGTGGTGCCCATAGTCTTTCTCCTGATCTTCATCATCGGAGTATTAGGAAATGGTACCCTTTGTGTCATCTTTCTCAGGCACAGAACCATGCGAAACGTTCCCAACACGTAAGTGCAGTTTCGAAACTAACCATTGAATTACGCCCATTTTGACACTCCAGTATTTCTTCATAACGACCGGAATTAACGTATGGCGCAATCCCGGATCGTGATTAAACCGCGTCACCGGAAAATTTATTTCCACCCTTTGACCTCCCTTCCGGTGCAAAGTAACCTAAAACAAACGCAACAACGCGAAATTCATGCACTAATAATTTTTGATATTCCCATATCAAACAAACCAGCAATAAATGTCACGTAAATTTGCGAAAGTAATATGCAACTACATTTTGTCTCCTCTATTTCAGAACTGTGTCACAAAAAAAATAAATATCATGTTTAGCAAAATCATAATAACACGAATTGATAATTCATATAAATCAATAATAACGAGGAAAGAAGTGTAAAAAATGAGATAGAAACAACTTGAAACTATTTTTACTCAAAGAAAATAATTATCGGTTCGATTAAGTTCAGATGTACATTCGCAAAGCGAAATAGAAACGAATCCATTTCCAGGCTTAAGGAAATTTCCCTCGACGGTTTTGCTCCTTCAATGCCAAAATAACTCACGACACTTTTTATCGAGTTCCCGCTAAAGTCTAAGCCAAACACGGACGCAGTGAAATGGTTGTTTGGTTAAGCTAGGCGAAATTCGTCTAATAAATAAATACGCGATGGACGGAGAAGGTAAATGCTGGTTCTCTTTATAACAAAAAAAAAAAGAATAACTCAAACGAGTTATTTCGTATCGTCGCATTCCGTTTCTGGATCCAACCCAAGTTTGTCACATTATAAATTTAAACAATGTATCGTAATTATATGGAAACAACACGATAAAAGTAAAACGATACTAAAATATACAATGAATCCTTGATTAAAACGCAATTATAATCATATTTTATATTCCATTTGAAGTGTTTCACTGACAAAATACCTGTCCACTTGGATGTTAAAAAATAAGTTGAGTCCAATGTTCAACTTCTTTTCTTAATTAGTTTTTTGATACGTTGGGTAATTAATTAAAAAAGTTTCGAACGAGGTGTGAAAGAATGTCTGTCGCTTTTAGTTGGAATTCTCCGGATAAATATATTTTTTTCCAATTCTTTGTTATATCGGATACTTCTGAGTTTGTGCATCTTCAATGTAGTTTTGAACATCGAAGGAAAAAAACGTTAAACATCTTATTTATAAGTTTATTTTAATTAATTGTTTTCTTAGAACCATATAATTTCTAGATTTTATGCAAATTTAAATTGGAAATTTGACTTTAAAAATAAAACAAAATTGTGTACGTTTCCGTTAATTTGTTTGTAGTTTATAAATCAGTTTCGAGTGCAGCGAGAAAGCTAATTCATCATGCACGAAATCACTGACCCAATTCATCATATTTTGACTTAACCCAATTTGCATCCCTCTACTCGCTTTGCAACAAGTATATAGTAAGGATGTGGCCAGATGAGTTCGTAGTTGAAATTGGTCCGTTTGTCGTTTCTTTCTCATCCGTCGGCATTAATTCCAATTAATATTCCACAAAAATTAGTTCGGCAAACTTCCCGAAATATACAAGCCGTGATGAGCTGTGGTGACTTTGACGACGAAACAGCTTACGTGGCGCAAACAACATCCCTAGGGAACGATTCCTGCTCCACATATCGCCTCCATAAGCATCCCTGATTAAAGCGCTTTAAACTTTTCCATTTCGCCCTCCTCAAAATACACGATCTCATTTAAACATTAAAGAAACACAAATAAAATAATCTCCTTACATTCTTAGTGGATATCCTCCAAAATAAAATTACATCTTTCATATAAAATATTATTTCAATATATGTTATTACGTGATCAGTTTGATGTCTTAAGTTAATAAGATTCGAACTGATGTTTTTAGTAAATCCAGTGCGTTTATGTTATGAAATGCGTATGTTGTATTTCAGTTATATATTGTCGCTCTCAATGGCAGACCTCCTGGTTATAATAACATGCGTACCATTTACATCCATCATCTACACGACGGATAATTGGCCGTGGGGAGAGTTGATGTGTAAATTATCGGAAACCGTGAAGGACATCTCGATTGGGGTGTCGATATTCACATTGACAGCGCTTTCGGCGAATCGATTCTTTGCCATCGTTGATCCACTCAAGAAGCTGCACGCAACAGGTATAAATAATTGCGTAATGAATGAGTATTGCGAAGGTGGGATGCGTTGAGGGCAGCGGAGATGTTGTGATTCGCAGGTGGCAGCAAGAAGGCCAGTCGTGTTACCGTCGGGATAGCCATATCCATATGGATAATTTCCATCATCTGCGCGATTCCATCCGCTTTGGGCTCCTACCTGATGGTCGTCACCGACAAGACTGGATGCATCCAGGTGATGGTCTGCTACCCGTTCCCCGATTACTGGCTGAACAACACCTATCCACAAGTGATTGTCTTGTCTAAGTTCCTCTTCCTCTACATCGCGCCACTCCTAGTCATCGGGATTTTTTACATGAGCATGGCCAACCATTTGATCATCAGCACTAAGAACGTCCCAGGGGAGCTGCAGGGAACTCAGCGCCAGGTAATCGAAACCAGTCTATTAACGAACCCTACTAAGTGAAAAACGAAGTCGATCATCTATCACCCGTTTGCTTTCAGATAAAAGCCCGCAAAAAGGTTGCCATCACCGTATTAATTTTCGTCATGGTCTTCGCTGTCTGTCTGCTGCCCTACCACATATTCATGCTAATGTTCTACTTCTACCCGAACTTCCATGACATTTACAATATCTACTGGCATACCTTTCGCATCGTCGGCTTCTGCCTCTGCTACATCAACTCCTGCGCCAACCCCGTGGCCCTGTATTGCGTCAGCGGTGCTTTCCGTAAGCATTTCAATAGGTATGTACCACCAAATCGATTATGATTATACCTATTACCTCAGTCCAAATACCTCATTTATAAATATTTATTCCCTGATACCAAAAATAAAACAATTACGAAGCAATCACGCGAAGAAGTAGTCTCATACCTATATTCAGTCTCAGCAAACACGTGGAATTAAAATTCAGAACGTCTGCCACGTGTTCGAAACAAGTTTATAAGACTAACACGTTGTGCACGCGCCTCAGGCCGAATTGAGTAACACTGTTATACATATATTGTAAATTTAGGATGCACGACAAGACGACAGATGCGGACTCGGCAAAAATGTATCACGTTTCATTGTACGGATCCGGGGTATATGTTTGTAATAGACTTGCATTTCCACCAGGTATTTGCTGTGCATTAAGCCAAAGAGGAATCGCTGCGACACGTGCCAAGGACACCACGCGACGACCATGTCGATGGTTTCCACCAACAAACGCAAGCAGTCCTTGTGCAACCGCAAAGGACGACCGACTTCGATAAACAAGAGGCAGGACCTTTTGATAGGACACGAGACCTCCATCACGCTGCTAGGGAACGGCAACAAACATGCCTGCAGCAAAATGTAAACGGGCAACCAAAAAAAAAAAATTATTTTTTTAAACATCCACCTCTCTCATAATTGGTTAACTTTACCGCTTTTTGATCGCTCAAAACGCTCACGTAAGAGGAATTCAAAGGATTACATGTTTATACTCCAATAATTCACTTTTTCTCCCACGCAATTAACGAGAAAATATACACGTTGATGTAATCGTATTCAGTATTATCCCTTTTTAATCACCGTACTTTCTTTTTTTAATTATTTTATTAAAACAATATTTATTACTTTGCATTGCGTAACCTAATCGTTATCAATTGTTTTATAACTTGTTTTTCACATAATATACTAGTCACAATACTTAAGCATAACAAAGAAAATAGCAGGTAGAATATATCTCCAGTAATAATATGTAATAAGTACATTAAGACGATTACTTGTCAAGTAGCTGCAGACGTCACTTGACAAATTACGTAACAGATATGTGTTTAGAATATAACGATTTTGTTTTCAGAAATTTTCGGCTTGATCATAAGAGTGTATATAATATGTAATCTAATAAATGGATCAAATATGATTACCATACACAATGATAGTATACAATTTAATGCTATGTAATAAATAATATACATATTACAAAAATCCAAAACAAAAAAAATTGTTTTTAACTAATTAAACTCAGTGCGTATATTATTCATTAAACAGCATTAACATTGTTATAATTAGCTTTAATGTGTACCGTATTATTGTAAAAATAAAAACGTACGCCATTTAATTAAATTTAAAATCATATCAAGAAAATTAATATATAAAAAAAAATGAAACAAACATAATGTACCAAAAAAATAATAATGTTTTGGATGTCTATAGGGAACAAACGTTTATGCTCGCTTAATCAGAAGAATCAGGAGAACGGAATGAATGCTGTATCATGAATAGGCCTAATTTCACCCTTGCAAAATGATTTTCCAGAGAACCGCGGTCATAATTAGATCCGTTTGTTAACTTGCACTCGCTTGATTCCTAACAGAAATATCTGTTTCCAAACTGCTTATTACTTCCGAGCCAATTCGCTGATGTCCAAACGCAATATGTAAGGTAAAACATTATGTAACTAAATGATAAATGTAAAAAAAACTTTAACATAGCAACAACATTGAACATTTTCAAGTTGATTACCGGACCAGAATTGATGGTTTCATATAATGGAAATGTTGTTTGAGTGTCGCATTGTAACTTTATTTTTTTGAAAAATATACTATATTAAACATTGTAACTTATTGAATTATTTATTTTAGAATTTATAATTAATATTTACGCTTTTTTTTTCCTATAATTATATTTTGTTTCAAGTCATGAAATGGTGAGGAGGCAACTTTATATATAAACTATTTCATAAAAATTGAAACAGAAAATATATATCGCTTAACGAGCGACGTTTTACATAACGAGTGACGATGCATACGAGTATTTTGCTATACGAGTAAAAATCCGGAAATTTTGTACTCGTTAAGCAAGGTTCGACTGTATTTAAAAGAAAGAACAACAACTGAAAAACTTCAGAATAAAAAGAAGGTAAGTAAATTATTGACGACTTCTAAATTTAATTACTTTATTATAGGAATACAGTTAATTAAAGTTCTCTAATTCTGACGTTTGTAAATTTATTTTAGTATCATTTCGTAGGTGGCATTCAAATGGTAACCAAATGAAGGCGACCCCCCCGAAGTGAATGCATTCTGATTAGCACCGGATATTTTGAATTTCAGGCTCCGCTGCTTCCGCATCCCGCATTCCGTCCTAGGCGTTGCGAATAAACTGCCAGAAGGACGCATAATGACGACATCCAATTACACTAAATCCTAGCCCCAAAGGGTACTTTCCCATCGTCATTCTTTTCATCGCTAATCCGGTTTATCACTTACGTCCGTATTAATTGATTTCCGCAAATCCAAACAACCATATTTATATCCATCTCATAATTAATGCCTTCTCCATACCCACACACAGCAGACACAAACACATTTTTTTTGTCTCCGCTGCTTCGTCTCGTTAAGATGCGGCCGAGAGACGACGGAATTAATGGCCCGGCTCCAAGTAAATCTCCCTTAATCGAATTTCCCGCTCAAACTAAATATCGTCCGCTTCGCACTGCCGCCGCATCATTTATTCTCTTCATATTATTCCTTTTTTTTGTACTGAAATACTTCAAACGTGTAATCTGAAGACCGCAGCAGCCCGGACCCTGATTACGCATCTTTACAAACCAAATATTTATTACTGTAAACATAATCCGAAAAGTCAAATTTGTTCCAACTTGATGGGTATATAATAGAAAGATATCGAAATCTTTGTTGCAACTCTTTACGTAACAGGTGAAAAGTGTTAATTAATTTTCGAGTTATTAACGAAAATCTTTATTTGGACAATATTTTCGAGAATAATATCGTTTTTAGTATTTAAAAGAAAAACATTGGGGATCAGATTTCCAGGTGGATGATTACAACGAAATTCGGATTAACAGCAATATATATGTTAGAATCCAGTTATTTTTAAGTCCTCGGGATTTATTCACTGAGAGGAGCTTTGATTCTGTGCACGTCCAACACCCATGCTCAAATACTTGCCGGAATACATGTGCTTCCACTCCAGTTTTTATTTTGTACTGCTCCCATTTTTTGTTCTTTATATTCCCATCCGCCCACTCCATAATCAACTTTAATAGCGGAATTTACTGTGTAAATATTTTTGCAAATCCGAACGTTTGTCCGTGCATTCGAATGCCTCCCACGTTTCATAATTAACATGAGTGCAAACGCGTGTATTAAATATTTTATACGAACGATTAACACCTCAAGCGCGAAGCGCAAAAAACATTAAGTAGAAAGAACGCAAGTGGACTGAACGCAAAAATATTTATCTTTTGGGAAATGGGTGGTTTCATCCGAAGTGGAAGATGCAGAATCCGGCAATGTTTGCAGAATTAATACCACTTCAAAAACTGAGATATCGGTCCAATTTACATATGGGGGTCCGCCCGGAGAACAAACAGAGATGCCGGATGGTGTTCATCTTTGTGAGATGGATCCGGTTGTTCGAGCATTATCTTTAAAAACTTGCAATAAAAATGTATTGGATCGGCTCAATCCGAAGGCTTCGGTGGCTGAATCACAATTTCCTAAATGCCTCCACTTTCGGCGACATTTTTCCATCGAAGAAGCACACATAATTTCATAAAATGTTAATGCTAAAAGAGACGCTACAAGAAATTTCATTTGCGATATACAAGGACGAAAAATTTAATTTAATATATTTGGAGCAAAGCGATTGTCAAGGATTTTACTACAAAAGCTTACAAGAAATATAATAAACTTTTTATTTATTTATTATCTACTCAATTACATATTTTTTTTTACAAATTGCTTTATTTTTGTTTTCACGTAATAATATATTAAAGCTTTATCATGAAAAATCTATGTTGGAATTAATAATATGTGTATTAAAATTACTTGGAAAACGAACAAAGTTTTCATAATTAATTACGAAACTGAGATAATCCCTACATTAGATTATTAAAAACCATATTTGTTCCATTACGTAAACGGAATTATTCATAAGAGTATTTGCATCCTTATAAATATTCAGGGCGACAGGGACTAGCGAAAAGAATTGTTATAGGTAAAAGAGCTTGCTTGCACTTCACGTTTACTTCGAAAGTGAGCGATCTCCGTTTCGTTCGGATGCAATTTCAAACGCAATCATTTTTATTTTGATTCGCACACATAAAACATATTACTTGAAAGTTGTTATTTTCACTTCACTGAAAACATTTAACTCGTCCATTTCATTTAGGAAACATTTATATAATAAACAAATTGAATTACAGTGGAACCTCGCTTAACGAGTTACAAAATTTTCAGAGTTTTACTCGTATAGTGAAACATATTCAAAAATACACATAAAAATTATGTAGCAGGCGCGAAACGTCGCTCGTTAAGCGAGTCATTTTTCTTACAATTCATTTAGCTATATTTCCAATAAATTTGAAAGAATGAAAATAATACTTTTAATTTTCTTAGAAAAAAATGCATTATGCAATATTTATACATAAGCATCATAATTTATTCGTTCAGTTTTAATTACTTGATTGCTACCTATTCTTATTCAGTACACTATGAATGATGATAAATTACAAATTGGGTTATGGAAGAGATTGAGTTGCGACGAATCTGTCTCGTATGGGAGTTGCCCGTATACGCGTAAAAATTACATATAATGAAATGAAAGGCTCAAAATGAAATGAACACATCAATACAAAACAGTCTTTTAAGTCCAGATTCACGCTTAGCTTGTTAATCTACCCTTTGTATTACAAAACATTACACAAGTTTACCAAAAAAAAAATACATTAAAAATTCTGAAATCACATTTATATTTTTGTCCCATGTCTACACGGAGCAATATCAAAAATGACATATGGACCGTTATTTTAGAAAAGTAGTATAAGTCCATTTTTTCGGGTCTATATCGAAATCTCGACAATCTAAATCCCGAAGTTCGAAATCAGAATCCCGACTATATCTCAAAGTTCTACAATAACATTTTTAAAATATTTCGAAATATGCTATTATTTATAACAATAAATTATTATTAATTTATTTGATTTTGTTAATACAATTAGATTATTAATTGTTATTTGTTATTAATAACAATTTAAAAGTGACTACGCTCCGGAATAATTTAAAAATGTTATTGCAGACATTTTCGATGTAGTCGGGAATTTAATACAGTCTAGATCATGGTTGTCGGGATTTCGATATTGTCGGGATTATGGTTATCGGGATTTCGATAGTCGGGATTTTAATTGCCATCACATTTTTTCATATATAGAGATATTTAAGTATTTGCGTTTGAATCGATTTAAAAATATTAGTAAACGTTAATCAAGTTTTTTACACTATAAAACTTAAATGTTATTATGCAATAAAAATTATTAAAATTGTTAAAGAAAATAAAGGGTTTTTTTAGGACTTAGTGGACTTTTCTTATGCGCTATAAATCCACTTTTTGCAACAAAAATAGTTAATGGTAATTTTAGTAAGATATAGCGTTTCTTAAACTTCCATAGTATTTTTGCATTAAATATTCTGCGATCTCCCAAAAAATAGAAAAACATCCTACAAATGTTTTTCGCAACTTATGGACTTATACCACTTTCTAAAATAAAGACTCATATTATAAAATGGTAGCGAATATTGAAAAACAAACAAAGTTTGGAATAAAATAATTCTATTTGCGAAACATTGATGATATTAGCAATCATCTCCGGTTATTCGAAATTAAACACGCTATGACAAAAGATCTCGAACAATATGTAAAGTGTCGTTAAGCAAACGTGAATCCTATGAATATGTGATTCGATGAAGTTTTCTCGATTGGGTTCGCACACTGAATGTCAATTAAACTGGAATCCATAAATTCGAGATAAATTCGTTAAGATTAGTCAGGTTCGCATTTCGAGCATCACGAGATAGCGAAACAATATCGCCCCGCCGGCGG